TCCGGCCGTGACCCCCCTCCGGCCGTGACCCCCCTCCGGCCGTGACCCCCCTCCGGCCGTGACCCCCCTCCGGCCGTGACCTCCCTCCGGCCGTGACCTCCCTCTGGCCGTGCCCCGGCCGTGTGGTCAGGCTTTGCTCTTCAGGGCTCTTGCCACTGGCTCTCTAGCCCTTGTCAGCTCACACTTTTGTTGGGACTGTTGTGTGACATTTTGTTGGTACAGGTGCTTCCTTCTGAGGGAGTGGTCCTGCTGGAATTGGTCAGGTCCTCCTTACCTTTTGATAGGATTATTCTGTCGTACAGGTTAGAAAGTGAACAGTGTCCGAGGAGATGGCCCTTGGGGGAGGAAAGTATTTCTTGATGGCTTCGAGGTAGATGATTTCTATTTTTAAAAAAGTCCTTAATATTAATACCAGATACTTAAACCTTATTGACTTGAACATTCTTTTTATGGAACCTTTGCTTTCTAGATGTTTTAAAAAGCTTCAGCTTTCTTAATATTCTAAGCTAAGAGCTCTCTTTTTTAATTTCCTTAATCCCCAACATATCTTTTAAAATTTAACTATTTTTATATTGTTTATGTCTTGGGTATGCTGAGTTATTAAATGTGGCGGAACTGAACCGTGTAAGCTGCTGAGTGAGTGAGCATCAGGTCGAGTGAGCCAGAGACGTCTCAGGTATTAATATGACGAAAAGTCCGTGTCGGTGCTCTGGAAAGCTGTGTTACCACATTCATGGTGTCATTTTACTTTTTACCACTTCTTTCCACTGAAGTCACTTAGGAAAAGCTAACTGAGGAGGTGGTTTATTTAGTGTTGGTCTGAGCAAGTTAAAGCTATTTCCCTAGTGGCCTAAATAATCCCAGAGAAAATCTGACTTTATGAATCCTTTGAGTTTCTGTTGAAGATACTCTGTAAGCTGCAGATTTGTATTTTAACTTTTCCTCCTGATGGCAGACAACAGAGCTTCATATGTTTGCCAAGGCCTTTTCAGCCTGAACTTTTTTTTTTTTTTAAAGATTCCACTTATTTACCCTTTTTTTTTTTTTTTTTAAAGTAACTTCTGTACCCATCTTGGGGCTTGAACTCACAGCCTTCAGATCAAGAGCTGCACACTCCCGCGAAGTGTGGAAGTGTACTGGTTTAGTGTAGATGTGACTTAACCAGGTTAACGTGTTGGAAGTACCATCAGGACCTTCCTGGGTGGTGCTGAGGATTTGGAAAGCTGTTCGGGGCTCACTGATGTGCTCCACGTGCATCCTAACCAAACTGTCTCTCCCCAGTTTTTGAATCAGAGCCGTCAGGCGCTGGAGATGAAAATGGACAGCCCTGCTGCTGGGAGTGCTGCCGTGATGAGGCCCATGATGCAGCCCCAGGTCACCTCCCAGGTGAGGAAAGTGAATCTGTCCATGGCCACTGCCGTGGGCCCCGTGCAGGGCCTGATCCGTACTTGGCCCTCAGTAAATGTATGTTAAAACACACCAGTTCCCAGTTTCTTGTGTAAGAAACCAGTTGTGCTCTCATCACACCTCCTCTTCCATTCTTCTCTCTTGTTGGTGATGAGGAATCAGGAGGGGAGGCTCTTTTATTAAAACCACGGATTCGTGTTTTTTAATTCCCTTTGTGATTATTTGTGGTGAAAATAGCTGACACTTTTTCAGGATTTAAAATAATAAATCTGTAAACTTTTCTTTGTTTCTGGGTTCTGAAACCATACGCTCATTGGGTAAAATACGAGATTATAAGAAGAAAAAAGTAAATGATACATAATGCAACTCTCAAGCACCGTCTCTGAGATGACTTGTTTCCCATAGTGGGAAGGATGATGCCTGAGTTCTCTGTACCTCCAGCACAAGTTGGAGACTGTACTAAGGTATTTTCTTGTTGTGTGCGAAGCAGATGACCACACAGAAGTCCTTTACTGTGGTTGGAAAGACTGTTGCTAATGATTGTAAAAAGCAACAGACAAAACAACCGACTGTGACAGGCCCAGTGTTTGCTGTCTTAGGCCTGTGTGGAAGTACTTTGATAATCCGACGTCTTGAATAAGCTGAGCTAGGATGCCCTCCAGAAAGATAAAAGTTGCTTTTATTGAAGGTGTTTTCTCCCAGCTGATAGGGCCCGAGTCAGTGTTTTGGTTCTGTGCTTTGACCATGTTGCTTCCTGAACTTGTAGACAGCTGCTCCTAACCATCTCTTGTTTCAAAAGCTTTTAGAGACTCTACAGTCTACCTCTGGGGGTAGACTGCTGTTTATTTGAGTATAACCCCATTCTTTTGGGGGAATGCTCCCTTGTGCCTCCCCTCCTCCCACACTCTTATTGCTGTCCTTTTCCTTCTTGTGGTTTTATTTCATAGTTTCTGAAAAATTTATCTACATAGTCTACCCTTAAATCTTCTCTTACTTTAAGGAGTGTTTTCTGTGTGAAGGCTTGACAACTCGCCCAAACGGTTTCCAGGTCCCTGTTCTGTACCCCGTCGTCCCCACCCAGCCACGATGCCATACTGAGAATTTACCATACTGAGAATGGTGCATTTTTCCTCTTGTAGGAAGAAAGGCATTGGATGGTTTTCTCTCCTACCTCCTGTATGGTGGTGGTCCTGTGTGTGTGGACTGGCCCGTTGCTGCTCCGTGTGTGTAACTGCATTCTCTCTTGGGTATTAGCAGGGTTTTCTGAACGCCCAGATGGTGGCTCAGCGCAGCAGGGAGCTGCTGAGTCATCACTTCCGCCAGCAGCGGGTGGCCGTGATGATGCAGCAGCAGCAGCAGCCGCAGCCGCAGCCGCCGCAGCCGCAGGCCTTCAGCCCGCCCCCGAACGTGACCGCCTCCCCCAGCATGGATGGGGTTTTGGCAGGGCCCGTGATGCCACAGGCTCCTCCCCAGCAGTTTCCATATCCACCAAATTACGGTAAATTTGATGGCGAAAATGGCTTCCCCAGAGTAACATTACTAAGGATCTAAGATTCGGAGATATGTTGCATATTAAATACAAAATAGTACGTACTCCCTTTTGTTATTCACTAGAAAGATGGAATTAATTAAAAACAGCAGAACAAGGAATGGTGACTTTTGAGACTGACAAGGTGCAGTAAGAGGCCAGGCCAGGCCAGACCAGACGAACCCTAGAAGTCTTGCATCAAGAGTTTTGGTGTCACTGCGTGTTCACAGATGTGTTTAGATTTGCACTGAGGCAAGGTCGCCCGAGGCCTGTGAGGCACCTGCATTGGGAGGAGAGCAGGGAGGGTGGAAGAAGGGAGGACACTCAGAGTACTTTGATCAAGAGACGATGCTCGTTGTCAGAATGGAGAAAAACTGATTGGTCTAAAAAAAAACAAAACAAAACCCAAAAATGTTTATGGGAGTGCACAGGTAATTGTCATTGTGGTAGATATGCTATCAGAGTTGAGCATTTTTTTCTCCCCTGGGTCTTGTTTTTTTAGCTCCCCACACCCTAATTTGGAAGAAAGACCACCAGGTCCCCCTCTCAGCCCCAGACAAACTATGTCCCAGTATAGTTGGACTCTACAGGCTCTGAATCCTTGCTCATGTCAGAGGAATGCCATGTGGGCTTTTGGGTTCCTTTCCTTGGTGACTTGGCTGTGTATTAATTACAATAATGCGTATTATCCCTTCAGGTGTCTTTGAGAGATTCCAGGAACACGGTGGGAGTGGGGGGCCAGGTGTCTTTTGGGGAGATGACATTTTAGGTATTCTCCTGCCACCTGGGGACAGAGGGACAGAGTGATGCCAGTAGCACGAGGTGGGAGTCCTTTTTACACAAAACCTTCATGAAGTAGCAGCTCTTCGGTGGCTAGAAGGTCTGGTCCCAGCGGTAGCCCATTCCCCCAGTTGGCGCCTCAGTGAGAAGCAAGAGGAACTGGCAGGCAGCATCTTGTGGCACTTTCTGTCTTGCGCTGCCCTTAGAAGAGAACATGAAGTTTCTATAGGAAACGGATACTGCAGTTTCTTTCTCTTCCTTCTTTTTTAAAGGAATGGGACAGCAACCAGACCCGGCCTTCGGTCGAGTGTCTAGTCCTCCCAATGCAATGATGCCCTCGAGAATGGGTCCTTCCCAGAACCCCATGATGCAGCACCCTCAGACCGCGCCCCTGTATCAGTCCTCGGAAATAAAGGGCTGGCCGTCAGGAAACCTGGCCAGGAACAGGTGAGGAAGAGGGACTTGAAAAGGCATTCATGTTCGGGGGCCCAAAAGTGTAAGAGAGTAACCTCTGCATGCTTCGGTCAAGCCTGTGTGGACTGAGAGCGCGAAAGGCCTGGGTTCCTATTAGGAAGTGTGTTATTTGGCTCCTCCATTTTGAGACTCCTTCCTGCCCCACACGTGTCCACAGGCAGCTGTGGAACAGAGAAGGCAAGGCAGGCAGGGGGCCCTCTTCTCCCTCGTGTTCTCTGCTGAAGCGCAGCGACACTTGACAGAACCGTGGTGGTCCCTCTGTGCGTGTCCAGTGTGACTCGAATGACCCAGGTCGTAATTTCCCACTTGGTTTACAGCTCCTTTCCCCAGCAGCAGTTCGCCCACCAGGGGAGCCCTGCGGCGTACAGTATGGTGCACATGAATGGCAGCAGTGGTCCCATGGGACAGATGAACATGAACTCCATGCCCATGGCTGGCATGCCCATGGGTCCTGATCAGGTATGGGGGTCGGTCTATCCTTTCCTTTTGTCAGAAAATTTTTCCTTATCTCTTGAGAGAGCCAAAGCCTCATCTGTAATCTAAAGGTCCTCAGCAGGGTTTCAACTTGGGGTGGGTGATCCAAAGCTAGAGTCACTGAAAAAACTTGTGGTTCTGAGGCATTGGGCCATCCAGTACATTTGGTAATGTGGCATCTAAGGAATCTGAATCCGTCAGCCAGAGGCCCGTTGCAGGCGCTGGTGGTTCTTCTGTGTTGTGCACAGCCTGTGTTTTCCTCACGTGTGTTCTGGTTGTTAACAGAAATACTGCTGACACCCCTTCACCAGGACCTCCAAGGAAATCACTGTACAAATGACACTGCACTAAGATTCTTGGGAGTGAAGAATCCTTGCCTGCACACTCAGCTCTGAGGAAAGACCCGGCTTCGGTCTCCGGGAAGGGTATTCCGAGCTAAGTCATCTGAGCAGGACTGGATCTGAAGCAGATGTGCGATGTCTACCTGTATTTCCCTCCTCCTGTGTATCGTGGAGTTCACAACACTTATCTTTGGCATTCTGCCCCTTAGGGATGGGGTTCTGGAGGGACGGGGTGTGACTGATCCTGAAACTCTGCCCGTACCCCTTCTTTCTGCCTGGTTGTCAGTGTTTCGCATCTGTGGGGGCGGGCTGGAGGACCTCGGAGAAGTCCAGAGAGGGGAGGAGGTCTGGTTTCTCTCGTGGCAGTACCTGACGGAGAACACAGTTGCCGAACTTCACGTGTTCTTGTCGTGACCAGATGGTTCTGTGTTCTCACTGGATTCTGTCCCGAGAAGTTGGCCTTTCTCAATTCTTGTCTTTTAATGATTGTGTTGAGTTGCTCCAGCCCTGTTCTTGGTTGTCCTGGACCTTTCCCTGAGTAAGAACTTACTCTGTCTTTAATGTCCTGTAATACTTTACCTCTAGGAGATGTCCTTGATGTCACATGGCTTCGTGGAAGGGACAGCGAGATGACAGTATTTAGTTGCAGCAGTAGCAGCTTTTCCCATGCTAACGTGCGGCCGAGTGCACTTTATTTAAAAAGTAATGGATAAATGCAATATTCCTGAGGTCTTGAGGAATGGTGAACCACATTCCCGGTTTTTGTCTGAACTGATCCGTTGGGCAAGGACTATGGTTTTTGTTGTTGTTTGAAGTACTGGTGTCACCCTTTGCCTATATGGTAGAGCAATAATGCTTTTTGAAAATAAATTGCAGAAAACCCAAGGCCAGGTACTGCATTCTGAATCAGAATTTCGCAGTGTTTCTGTGAATAGATTTTCTTTTGTAAATACGATCTTTAAGATATTGTATTATGTAAAATATGTATATACCTTTTTTGCAGGTCACAACAACTCATTTTTACAGAGTTTGTGAAGCTAAATATTTAACATTGTTGACTTCAGTAAGCTCAGTGTGGTGAGGCTACACAGAGAAGAGACAACCCCTGAATTTTGTGGCCTGGGAGAGGGGATGGCGGTCTGCAGGCGCACCCCCCCGCCATCCTCCAGTGTTAGATGCCTCCCTCTTTTCGATCTCTTAAATGCTTTTTTTTTTAAAAGATAATTTGTTTAGATGTAGGCATTTTAAATTTGTCTTTTAAATTCCTCTACCAGAACTAAGCACTTTGTTAATTTTAGGGGAAAGAATAGATGTGGAGAAATAAACTTTTAAAAAAAGATATCAAGAATTTTAAAAGATCAGTTTGATTTAAAAGGAATTTTGGATTTTAAGCGGTCCATAAATTAAACAATAGCAGTTCACGATAGTCTGCTTTTTAATTGAATATGTTGCCTCCTCATCCGCTGTAGGAGTGCTCTAAGGTTTTGGTTGCTAGGACCCAAATCCCACATTGAGATCTCGGGAGTAGACCCCTTGATGTGTGGCGTCTAGTGTCTGCTCGGCTGTCTTGTCACTTGGAAGCGGTGCGCTCCTGGTCCCTGAGAGCTGGAGTGGCTTCAGGGGGTTTCTCAGGGAGCTCATCCCCCAGGGTGGCCGGGTGTGCAGCTTCCCAGCTGTGGTCTGGCTGAGCGCGTGCCTTTGTGCTCCCTGCCACTGCCCCTTTCTGCTCTTGCCGGGCTTGGACACTCGTTCTTGTCCGTTGGGAATAGAGAAAAAATTTAATTCCTTTTATCTGGCTTACTTTATTAGCTTCAAATAGTTGAATGAAATTGGGTTTTCAGGTACCCGTGAATTTCAAAGGTCTCTGGCTAGCTTTGGTATCAATTTCCTAGCAATAACCGAGAACCAGTTAATGTTTGTTTTATTTCATACATATTTAGCCAATTTTTCTAGGTGTTTCTGAAGGTAAGATCACTTAATTTCTTTGACTTAAGCATAAGTGAAACCCGTATTTCCAGAACCACCTCTTGAATAGATTTGGATTTGACACCCTCTCCCCCACTGCCTGGTTAAAAATAAATCTGAGATTGTAAATCCATCGACTTCCATCACAGTGGCCTGTACTTTTCAGATAACATACCCTCCTGTCTGGAGACAGAGACGTAGCTGAGTCAGTCTCTTGTCTTTTTAGTGTATCTGAACCTTTCCTGTTTATTAAGTCATGTGTGCGTGGGGAGAAAGAGAATGGTGCTCTTACCTTTCTTGACTTTTAAAAATTATAAACAAAAAACACAAAGTTTTATGATTCTTTTCCTCAGTCCCAACTCCAGGCTAACTGGAAGGCAGCACCCCCTTTTATATGGAAAAAAAAGGAGAAACTTTATTATAAGTTTTTATATTTTCTACTTGTTCATTTTATTGGTGCAAACTTAAGAATTTGATTTTCTTTTAATAGATGCCGTCTTTTGAGATAATTTGTTTTTACCTTTTACCTATTGTCCTTTTATCTTTTTTGGATACTTCTCTTTGTACTCCTGCTGCCTACCTCTCCCTACTCCCCAAGCCCCACTTTTTTAAACCTTGGTATTTCATCTGCTTTTAGAATGTGTGATATTTCCAGTACCTACTTTTTTGCTGAATCCAAAGATATATAAATATAAATATATATATTTTATAAAGATCAAAATGATAATAGAGGAGATACATTTCTTCCTTTAAAAAGCAAATAGAAATTCATTGTTGATGTTCGTATTATGATGCCACTTTTCTAAATTGTGCATCTTGATGGAAAAGGTGTAAATATCAATCACCAGGACTGCTTAGTTAATTGGTATTTAATATCTGGGTGAGTTGGGGGTATGGGGAGGGGGAGCATAGAATATACTTGGCTTGCGGTCCTTGAAAGGACTGCCAGGTAAGTTGTCCTTATGCCTCTCCGGTTCCATGAGTTTTGTTCACAAGTGGGGGCGTCCTAGGAGTAAAGCCTGTAGGACAGACAAAACCCCCTGCTTCGGAGGAGCAAGAGCTGCTTTTCAGCTCGAAGGCCAACTGTTTAATGAGCAAGGTGTTTTTTTCTTTCCTTTCTCTGTCTTTCCAATGTGTGGAATTTCGATGATGGAAATGTCATTCTGAGAGCAATATTTAAAATTCTCAGGAACTGACTTATAGTATTGAGAATGAATTCAGTTTCAATCAAGTTTACATTAAATGTTTCTTCTAAAAATCTAAATCATTCTTTACACTGCAAAGAACCCAGACCACATGGGATAACTTAGGAGATGGTTGAGTGGTAAGCTCTGACTGCGTTGCAGATCATTTTGGATGTCATTGTAAATAAAGGTTTCTATTTAACATTGATGCCTAAGAGCTTGCTTGTTTCCTTCTTTTCCTAAAAAAAAAAAAAAAATCCTGATTGGATTAAGGGTAAAGAGGTGGTTAAGGGATCCTGTTTCAAATAATCCTAACAGTGGAAAAGCACAGAGCTGTTATGCTCGAAGGCGAGCACTTTGGGGGTCCTCTCCACTGTCTGCTCATTGAGAACCGCGGCAGGTTGGGTGGTGGCCGGGGACGGGCCCTCCTGTTCCTCCCTCCTGGCCTCTTGACCGCCGCGCTGGCCAGGCCGGGCTAGCGGCGCACAGAGCGGGGCCGGCTCATAGGGTGAATTGCTCTGCAGTCGATTAACATTTTTAAAAAGCAGGGCCCTGAAGCGGGGGCAACGGGAGCCTTACCTGCGAGGTTGCTTTAGTGTGGTGAATTTTCGTCATTAATTTATACTCCTCTGTTCCCCCTTGGGAAAACCCAAGTGTCTCCTTTTTTAAAAAAACCAAGCACACCAAAGAACTCCCAAGAACGGCCTTTTACCAAATGTTAAAGGTTACCTCACACCAACTGCCGGTCGTTGGCTGGGGCTTCGAACGTCGCAGGACAGTACTTAGACTACAAAATTTCTTTACAAATACAATTTCGTTAAAACCTGGGACATACATACATGAACTTCATTTCTCTCAGTACTTTAAAAAACGTCAGTTCTGGGACAGATGACAAAGGAATACGGGCGGGAACGGCGTCTGGGCGGGAACAGAAATGTCCACAAGTGCGAGGGGTTTTCCTTACACCGGCACAGCGTTTACTGACGCCGCCGCTCCCGCAAACCGGGTTTCCCGTCAGATCCCCTGCGAGTTCCCACGCCGGTAGCGCGGAGCCGCCTCTGTGCAGCGGAGTCGCCTCTTCGGGGACGGCCCGCCTCGCGGCGCCCCCGCGCTGCCGACTCCCGGCCGGGCCCGCGCCGCCCCGGGCCGCCGCAGGCCGCGTCGCTGCCGCCGCTGTCCGAGTTCCTTCTTCGTGACGAGCCGGAAGAAGAAGGGTCTGAAACGGGGGTGTCCTTCCCCTCGGATTTTTAAAAACGTTCCGGTGCCTTACCCCGTTGGGGAAACTGCCAAGAAAATCTTCCTTCGTAAGCCTCTCCGCGGGGGTTAGTGGTGACGGATAGGAAAACGCGTTTTGTGCAGCTGGTGAGGTACCGTCCAAAGCAAAAGCAGGGGCAAAAATGGCCTTTCCGGAGTCCCACGGCTCCCCACGGCCGTCTTCCAGAGCGCGCCATGTTGACGGAAAGCAGGTCCCGTGACGCAGGCCCCGGCCAGGCGCGCGGGCCCGCCTGGAATCGTGCTCCGTCTTGCCGGTCGCGACGGTCAGATGGCGCTTCTGGTCTGGAGGCCGCCGTGCGCTTCCTAGCCTTCCCAGCCTTCCCACAGCTGTCCCCTGCGGAACGAAGCGGACTCCTCTCAGTGTCCCGGCCCGCAGCCCCCACGCCTCCGCGCGCTTTGCCCCAGGGCTGTGGCTGCCGGGAGGGAGTAGGGCAGCGGCCGAGGAAGGGCCCGCTCCCCGCCGGCCGCCGCGACCTCGTCTGCGGCTCGCACGCTCTGGCCCGCAGAGGTGGCCCTGGGGATGCGACCCGGGAGGTGATGCGCTTTAATTCTGGGAGCGCCAAAGAACCGCCCGGCCGGCCGCAAAGCCGCAGGTGGTTTGTGTGCACGCGAAGAAGGGAGGGCAGAGACCGGAGGCCGCACAGCGCAGGGCACCGAGGGGGTCTGTTTGCCTGGGTGGTAACCGGCTGTCAGGAATGGCCAGTGTGAGTGGAAAACCTCACGCCGATCTGCAGTCAAATGCTCTTCCCCCGACCTATCCCCCCCGCCCCCCACACGTCTGTGGGTTTGGATTTGCTCGGGGAGTTCGAGGATTCGAGCCCCATCCCACTGGTCGGTCCCTTTAGCCTAGAGGTGACCCAGGTCACCCCAATCTCAGCCCTTCGGCAGACGCTCTGGCGCTGGAGGGAGACTTGGGGGCGGGGATATTTTGGGACCCGTTTCAGGAGGTCGCCCTGCAGCTGCCATGGACGGACGGCCTAGCCCTTCTGCAGCCTTCGAGAGGTCTGGCAAGGGTACGGTTGACACGCTTCTCGGCCTCTAAGGACTACGCTGGTCTACCAGGCCTCGGTTATGCTACAGGTAACGTCAGACAAGGTGCTGATCTGGGACACGGGAAGCCCTTGCTCCCTGCTGGTGACGCGAACAGACGGGATCACGGAAGCAAGGGCATGCACACAGCAGCCCCGGCAGAAGGCCGCAAGGCAAACCAGATCTCCCTGTAAATCGGCTCCTCAACTCACAGCGATTTGGAAGAAGGTCTCTTCATTTCTGGCCACTTTCGACGCTGAAACTGCCTAAGTTTGGGGGTATGAAAAAGAGTCCGTTAGCTTCACCCAGAAAGACAAAGAACTCCCCCCACCGGCCCCCCGGGGTGGGCAGTCCAGGCCCCTGGCAGACCAGAGAAAGGGCAGGGCCTCAGCCCGACTCGTGCCCCCTCAGAGGCTGGACCCCGGATGGGCCAGCACAGGGGACGGGCTCAGGCTCTAACAACAGGACCAGATACCTGTATTGCTCGTAGCTTCCTCCATCTTTAAGTCCTAAATGAGACACAAATGAACAAAAGAGAAACAGTTTTAAGGGCAAAAATGGCACAAGCAATGACACCTGCTTTGGAACTGCCTTTTTTTTTCTTGTTTTTGTCATTCATGACATTGACCGTGTCCCCCAGGGCAGATGGAGTGGCTGAATCAGGACGTGAGCGTTCCCGAGACTCACGTAGCCTGGGGGTTGCCCGTACTGCGTGTCACCAGCTGTAGGACCCTGATGTATCCACCCAACAGGGACCTGGGTCACAGTCATGGTGGGGAGGCACATATGGGCAGGGACACCTATACGACAGAGGACCGGAAGCCATGGGCCCCGAGAGCGGGTCGGCGGGGACATCTGTGTGTGGCTCTCAGCAAGCTTCCTGGAGGATGGGCTGCGTGACCCGGCGTGTGGGCTTCGGAATCAGCCCCCCGGCACGTGACCGCCCGTAAACCCGGACGAGCAGATTCGCCCCCCGGGGGTTGTCACGGGGTGATGAGACACTGACTGGGAGACATGTAGCACCGTGACCGACACAGCCTGTTGGGACTTCCGCGAACTTGGTGCCCATTAGGGAGGGGGAACCGCAGCCCCCACTTCAGACGAGACCGACCTCCTAAATTCCTTCCTACGGGGCCCTGCTCCCCGCGGCCCCACGCCGCAGCGCCGACTCACCCAGCTCCATGTTCCGCGTCCGGGGGTTGCACTGCTTGTAACCCTTGCAGCTCCTCAGCTCCATGAGCTGCACGTGGAGCTGGTTGAGGACGTCCCTGTCCAGCGTGTTCACCGCATTCATCAGCTGGGCGGGACAAAGGTCGTCAGCAAGGCGTGTGGGGGGGGGGCACCAGCTTCCCCCAACCAGGGCACTTCCTCCAAGCAGGCTGGGAGCAGGGATGCTGGGGGCAGTGATCTTTACTCTGCCGGAGCTGGAGCTGGGGACAGTCCGGACTGTGTCGTACCCGTGAGCCCCGCCACGTTCTCTCCTGCAGGACAGACCGGCCCCAGGTGCCTCCCTTTCCCGACCAGCGGCTCCAGCGCCTCGGCGGTCGCTCTGCCCTGCAGCTCTGGACCGTCCCCCACATGCCCCTCGGCGCCTCCTGACCGCAAAGCTGCCACTTGGGGAAGGGGGGGTGCTCAGGGACCCGGGTTCTTGCCTACTCTGGGAGCTGCTGGTGACAAAGCTGCGCGCTCTGCCACCCCCTGGTGTAAAGGACGGAGATGGCCTAAGGGGAGAGACCAGCAGACTATGTGGCAGCTGAAGACCAAGACTGGGGAGCCGCTGGCATTTAAAAACCAGGTTTCCTAGAAAACCACCATAGGCTTTTCTCAAGACCCGGAAGTCAGACAGAACCAAGGCCAAGGTGCTGGGAAGCTCCAGCACGGAGGAGCTCCATGGGGACCGGCCGTTTCAGAAGGGACGCACACAGGCCGCTCACTAGAGACCGGGGCTCCTGTCTGTCTTACACGTTCTGGGCCCCTGGGCAGGTGTGTGTTCTGATGGTTGTACTCGCAGACACTTGGGTTAGTGCTTGGCGTGTCATGATTACTGGCTGTGGCCATCGTGTCCCCGTAGGCCCCTGAGTGTGCAGGGTTTGGTCTGATCCTAGGGACCCTCAAAACCCTTCAGTTCTAGGAGCCTCCACACTTAGCTTTAAAGCCTGCAGGTGCCCAAGTTAGAGGGAGAGGCAGTATAAGACCCAGACTCCAGGTGCTGGAGGACGGCGGCACAGGGGGGCCGAGGGCGCATGGGTCCCTCCCACCTTAGGGGCTCGGGGGAAGCCTGGGCTTGGAAGATGTGCTGTCACTTGCTCAGGGGGCTCCGTCCCCGCTTCTCCAGCCTGGGTTGCGTGTACCTGGTAGGGGTCCGTGTTGAGATCAAAGTACTCCAGGAAGCCGGTGGCGAATTCACAAAAGAGGAAGTTGTGGGTCTCGTTGATGGTCCTCATGCACCAGTAGGTGTTGTTGTTGGCGCTGGTGCAGGCGCAGAAGGGCCCCACTGCCAAGGGAAGGGGGTGCGCGCCCAGTGAGCGGCCCACGGGGGTTCCCGTCTGGGACCCTGGGCCCCCTTCTGTCCCCAGGGCTTGGGAACCCTGCGGCCCTGAGCTAGGGGCCCAGTGGCGGTGGGAGGGCTCCCCGTGCAGCCCCGGAGCAGCCCTCCTGCCCGCGCCTGCCCGCTTGCTCACGTGTCCAGAGCGGCGCTGTCTGCCAGTGCTGGTTGTCGTGGGTGAAGCACGTGAGGCCCGGCATGCTGCACGTGTCGTTGTTCTGCAGGCGCTTGAGCAGCTTGCGAAGTTTCTTCTTCCGCTTCTGCTCCCGCAGCAGCCACACCTTGTCCTTCTCCTGCAGGCCCTTCCTAGGGGCACACACGGCCACACCCCTCACACCTCCCCCGGTCCCCACCTGCAGCCTCCTCGGGGTCCGGGCCCCTGAACCTCCGCTCTTCCTGCCTGGCGCCGGGCGCCCTGCCACAGGGGCTCCCCCAGGCGAAGGACCGCTGGCCAAGACCCGCGGCTGGTCTGACACGGGGGCGGGGGCGGCGGGGGGACAGGCCCAGTCTCTTGCCCCTGCAGCCGGCACCCCCAGGCGGCCAGACTCAGCCCCGCCCTGCTTGGTGGGGCGGCAGCAACCCCTCCAGCCACGGGGGGGCGCCGGAGAGCCGCTCAGAGAGTCCCACCCTTTCAAGGCCTACCTCCCAGGGAAGGGCCCGGACCCCTTTCCTTCTCCTGTTTGCCTTAGGTCCCCTGAGCCTTCAACTGCCCTTACCTGAAAGGGTGCAGACTGGAGCCCTTGTGCTTGAGGCGGCCTTTGTGCTGGGTGTGGTAACTGTAACAGAGCCCGCCCCGCGGTTCACAAGCTGCTTCCGGGGCAGCTCCTGGGGAGGGGGGTCGTGCAAACCGCGGTTCCCTGGGACCCCCGGCTCGCTCTCTGGGGCAGCGCTGGGGTGGAAACCATCCCCAGGGAGGCAGCTCCAGCCCGGAGGCGAGCTGGAAGCTCCTGGGTGGGGTTAAGTCAGTGGGACTGGAAGCTGGGCGGGCACCTCCGGGTTGGGGGGCTGCCAGAGCCCTGCCCACCGCATGCGGGCTCGGGGCCAGCCCCTTCTGAGAAGGGAGCACGCTGTCTGGTGCAGGACCTATGGGCCACCTGTGGCTGTTTCCATTTACATCAAACTACAAGTTCAGTTCCCCCGTCACCCCAGCCACATTTCAAGAACATGAGAGCCATGCAGGGTTGCTGGCTGCCGTGCTGGACGGCGTAGACATGGCCCGGTGCTGGCATCGCAGAAATTTGGCTGGACAGTGAGCCCTGGGCCACAGTTCGCTGAGCTGGTGATGTGGACCTTGGGCCACGTGGGCTGTTCCTGGACGGGCAGTGAGCAGGGCACCTTCCCCTCCTGGGAACCAGACCCCCACGGCTAGAGCCTGCCCCCGTCCGCGGTGCAGAAGTGGGATGTCGGGCCGGCTCCTGGGGAGCGGTGGTCTGTGCCCAGCACAGACAACGGGCATGTGAGTTCCTACAGGGTTTCTGGTTTCCCCCTGAGCAAGGAGCTAGGGCTGTCCAGATAATGAAAGGAGTCCCGGCACAGAGGCTGTGTCCCCAGCGGTGTCCCGCAGGAGCACCAGGGGCCTTTCCGGGGTGTCCTGGCTGGTCCTTGCTGCCTCCTCACCTGATTTTGTGACAATCACATTCCTCAGGACGCTTTTTCTTCAGGTGACCTCGGACTTCCCGCAGGTTCTTAATTTTGTTCTGCAGGGTTTCGATCTGAGGCAGAGAGCAGGCGAGAAGGCTATGAAACTCTGGGGGGTGTGGGATGGGGAAGAAGGGACAGCCTGGGGGGCAGGGGGCCTGGCCCTTGCCTGTATCTAGGGCTGCTGAGGGGCCCTGGGTTCCCCCTGGCGAAGTGGCCAGGCTCCAGAGGACCAGCTGAGCCCACCGAGGCCTCGTCTCCCCCAGGCTCAGTCCCCAACCACATTGTCCTACCCCCCGGCCTGGAAGCGGCCTGTCTGATGTCCGAGGATTCCAGGGAGGCCTCGCTGCCCTCCTGGTACGGCTGGTGGCCCTGCCGAGCTCGGGGTGTGTGTGGGGGTGCTCCCGGCCCAGAACCCCTCACCTCATGGTCGATGTGCAGCTTGTGATCTTTCCAGGCCTGCAGGGACTTGTACAGATCCAGGTCGCACTGGACTGTGTCATTCTCGAGGATGTAGCACCTGCTCGGGAGAACGGGCCACATGTGCCTCCGAGGGGTCGAGGGAGCCCAGCCAGGGGCCCGAGATGTGAGTGCTCCCCCCACAAGGCCCCGGCTGCCCTCCACACCTGCCCTCCTCCGGGATGCTCACCGGTGTGTTACTTTAATGGGGTTGGGGGCTGAGTAGTCCGGAAGGCCTCCAGTGCCACTGAAGTCTCCACCATCCTTGTCATCTGGGTCCTCAGGGGCCCGTGGCCAGTGCCGCTTGCTAAGGTTGCGGGGCTGGGATGTGTCATCCAGGCCTGTGCGGTGCGCCCCGCTGTCCTCCTCGATGGCCACCGAGCGGATGGAGCGGTTCCGGGCATAGCTGGTCTTGTACTCTGTGGGTGTCGGCAGGTAGCTGGGTTAGCAGGGCTGGCTGGGCTGGCCGGGCTCTCCGGGCAGTGGACTACTGGTCCCGAGACTCAAGGGCTCATGAGATCTACCCACCCAGGAAGCAGGACCCGGATGGACCCCAGTGGGAAGAACCACACGGTGATTCAATCAGGAAAATGCAAGGCGCAGAGCTAAGGAGAGAGTGGCTTGAGATGATCCCCAGAAAGAGCTATGCGTGGACCATGGTCCATCCATGTGATGGAAATGTCCAGCCACAGAGGACCGAGGCCATGATGCACGCTACCATGTGGGTGGGTGTCCACCTCGCGAGGCTCTGTGAACGCAGCCAGACACCAGAGATCCCGTGCTGGGTTATTTGTTACGGGTCTATTTGTTCAGAACGTCCAGAGGAGGTAAAGAAACCAAAAACAAGTTCACGGTTGCCATGGGATGGAGAGACAGTGATGGGATTCCCTTTTGGGGGTGATGGAAGGTTCTGGAAGTAGAGGTGGTAGGTGCACTATAATGTGAATGTAATACATACTTCTGAATTGTAGACTTTAAAATTACAGAAATAGTAAATTTTATGGTGCCTGAATTTCACATCAATAAAAAAAAAAAAAAGCAAAAAAAATGCAACGTGGATATAAAATCATTAATAAGGAGATTAAATCGGTAATCACAAACTTCCCAGTAAATAGAAGTCCAGGACCAGATGGTTTCACTGGTGAATTCTACCAAACATTTAAAGAAGAATTAATATCAGTCCTTCTCAAAATCTTCTAAGAAACAACATTTCCAAACTCATTTCATAGGTCAGCATGACTCTGATATCAAAACCAGACAAGGCCACCAGCAGAAAAGAAGATTATAGGCCAGTTTCCCTCATGAATGTAACGGCAACACCCCTCAGTAAAAGTATCAGCAAGCCGAATTCAGTAATACAGTAAAAGGATCAAACAGCACAATAAAATGGGATTTATTCCAGGGCTGAGAGGATGGCCCGCCGTCTGCCAGTCAAGCTGTGTGATATACCACGTTTAACCTCATTTTTGAGGGATAAAAATCGTGGGATCATCTCAGTGGATGCAGGAAAAGCAGACAAAATTCAGCACCCATTGATGATAAAAAACCGATCAGGACGAGGTTAATATCCAAAAGAGATAAAAACTTACACAACTCAACAGCATAAACCCGAACAATCTGATTTAAAAATGGGCAGAGACTCTGAATAGACATTTTTCTAAGGAAGATATCCAGATGGCCAAAAGGTATATGAAAAGGTGGTCGGCACTGCTCATCATCTGGGAAACGCGCAGCAAAACCTCCATGAGCTACCACCTCACACCTGTTAGAATGACTGTCATCAAAGGGACAACAAACTGGGGCGCCTGGGTGGCTCAATGGGTTAAGCCTCTGCCTTTGGCTCAGGTCATGGTCTCAGGGTCCTGGGATTGATCCCCTGGTTGGGCTCCCTGCTCAGCTGGGAGTCTGTTTGTCCTTCTTGTCCTGCTCGTGCGCGCGCGCTCTCTCTCGCTCTCTTAAATAACTACGTAAATAAAATCTTAAAAAACAAAACCTAAAAGACCAACATGGATGGACCCAGAGGATATATAATGCTAAGTGAAACAAGTCAGACAGAGAAAAACACCACCTGATTTTACTTAGGTGTGGAAATAAACACCCCTCCCCCCAAGCCATCCCCCCCCCACCCCGAGCTCATAGATACAGAGAACAGACTGGGGGCTGCCAGAGGTTCTGGGGGCAGGAATGGGCAAAATGAGTGAAGGGGCTCAAAAGGTACTTCTAGTTATAGAATGACCGAGTCCTGGGGATGCCATGTATGGGACGGTCACTCTAGCTGATAGGACCATACTGTGTATTTGAACGTTTCTAAGAGAGTCCTTTTAACATTTTTACAATAAATGAATTGTCACTGCATGTGATGGATCATTTTGCAAAGTCTGCAAGTATTATGTCACTATGTTGCACCCCCAAGACTAATATGTCAGTTACATCTCAATAAGAAACAAAGTCACGAAAAAAACCGCATTAATTTGAACTGGAAAGGAACAAAGCTGGGTAGCACATTCTCCCGGAAAGGAAAGGGAGCGGCTTGCAGGAGGGTCTCTGAGCTTCTCCGTCTGACTGGCCAGCCCGGAGCTGGATGTTCTCTCCGGGGCTGGGCAGGGAGACAGGGCTCAGAGGCATTTTTTTCCAGGCTCTATGTCCGCTACTGAAAACCGAGGGCACGCAGGCTAAAGTCAGAGCCCACATTTCTTGCAGATCTTCTATATATTAAAAACGAACTTGGATCGAGTTGGTAACATTTGAGAAAGGTTATGGGTGGTCATGTAGCAGATTTCCAGCTTCGGAGGACAGAACCAAAGAGGTACCTGCCCACCCTGGGTCCACGGGCCCACGCAGTACGCCTGGGCAGGGGCTGACCCTGCTCCTTTAGACAGGTGGTCCGTTCTCCTGTTGGCCACAGTCCCCAGCCCTCCCTTCTGTCTTAAAGCTCTGCCCCCTTCACTCAGGTCTGGCCCTGCTGTGCAACAAGTCTGTAACCCCGCTGGTCTGGTGCATCTTTCTGGAGAAGGGCCTAGAGCCCCGCTCGGCCCACCTTTCTGCTGGGCTCCCAGTGGCCACCAGATGGCGCCAGAGGCTCGCGGATAGGGCTCCCCGGGGGGTGGCGGGGGGAGGGGTTGCAGAATGTCCCTGGGCAGCAGAATCTGCTCTAGATGCCCCTGCTCCTGGGGCAGGTGTTTGCATCTTTCAGTTCCCAGATCCATTCTATTGGAGTCACACCGGCCAAAGGACCCAGGGGCCGAGGCCCAGGAGAGGCAGCTCTTAGCAAAACCTCGGGCCAGCTCTCCCCTTGGCTTTTTCCTTCCTGAGTCCAGTCCCCCTGAAGCCACAGTCCCTGGGCCCCTGATACAGTGTGAACCGCTGGCTCAGACGTGCCCACGAGGGCCGTGAAGTAGACCCGCCGGGTTCCTGCTGCCCCCGTTGTCTTGCTTGCTCAGGAGTCGGTGGCTTCGATCTTCCCACCTCCACGCCCCAGCCATGCACCCAGAGGTCCCCAAGCCCTAGCCTAACGGCCGAATCTCGGCCTCTGTCCTGTTTTGTAAGGAAGCTACCGAGGCCACGGCCCTTTCCTCGCTCCAGTGACAGAAGGGAGAAGTCGAGAGACTGTTCAGCCTGCAAAGCCTCAAAGATTTACTCTCTGCTCCTTTACAGATGAGGCTGCCGGGCCCCATGTGAACCTTTGCCTGGATGTGAAGCCACACTCCTCACTCTGCTGGTCACCCTTGTGGGCTTTGTTTCCGGGGTCCCAGAGGCGCCCCCGCCAACCTGCGTCCTGGGAATGGAAGGGCCTCATAACCCCGTGGCCGAGAGCGTGGACTCTGGAATCTGAGTGCACGGGTGCAAATCCCGAGCAAACGTGTGACCCCCGGACAATTTGGTTGACGCGAGCAGCTGTGTCCTCACGACGGTCCCTGCCCTGCAGGGCTCTTTGCAGGATGACGTGAACAGAGCTGGTAACTTCTGCAGCCCCTGGAAGCTGGTATCAAGCAGCGGCCCTGTGGTTAGAGGGCACTCGGCAGCTGGGACAGCCGTGTCCGAGGTCCCCAGCGGCGCCCATCCACCCCCCAGGCCTGGAAAACCCTGGGCCCTGCAGCCCGCTCTCTGGGGCTGGGACCCCCAGGGCCTCTGTGTCCCCTCTTCTGGCATCTTCCCACTCCGTTAACTTGCTTACACCTTGTATCACCCACGGGTCCGATCTGTGTCTCTCTCGTTCAACTTTGGAACCTCAGCATTTGGTGCCCAGTCGGGCTGCGGGTTTGTTGGGAGCCCAAGTGAGTAAACGGTGACTGATGGGGCCTGTCGCCCCATGCTGGGCTGGCAAGCCCTGCCTGGCTTCCTCCTGCCACAGCTGGTGCCCACAGCTGGATCATGGCGGGCTGGGGTCTGAGTGGCTCTGAACCGGGGCTTCTCAACCTCCAAATTGGTGACATCTGCGGGCCCAACAATCCTTTGTTGTGGGAGACTGTCCTGTGCCTTGTGGGATGTTTGCAAGTACCCCTGGCCCCTTCCCACCCGAGGCCAGGAGCAGCCCCCATCACACGGCTGTGACAAGGAGATATGGCTCCACAGGGCCAAGTGTCGCCTGGGTGCGGGGTGGGGGTGCTGTGGAGGGGCTGAGAAGCCCTGCTCGGGGCCGGCTACTCAGAAAGGGGTGGGGATGAACTTGCGGGGGGATGAACGCGGGGCCAGCGGATGAGGCCTGGGCCCCCAGTTCAGCTGTGTAACCGGACTTTCTTGTGCGTCCTAAGGAGGGTCCCCTGCCTTGGTCCCTGTGTTGCCGCGAGGTGTGTCTAAGACAGGACCTCGGTTACACTGAACTCCCATGAGCGCTTGGGCGCACTGGGGCCCTGGTTATGTTGGTGTTTTTTCTTTCCTCTGAGTATTAATGGGGGGTGGGGATCTTAACTGAGTCACAGCTTCTGGTGCCATTCAAAGATCAGGCACTGCGCCGTATGCTGAAGCAAGATGTCAGCTGTGGAATTCAATCTGGAAGCCCGGCTCTGAGCTGGCTAAAGAAGATGAGCTTGACAGTGACTAATGGGCTCGTGAGGCCATATAATGGGGGGCCCCCCACTCGGAAGCACTATCGGAGGCAGCAGGAGCCGGGGTGCTGTGGAGGGAACTCTGACCTGGGCAACACCATGGATGACCCTTGAGGACGTCATGCTGAGTGAGGTAAGCCCGCCCCACGAGGACACGCACTGCACACTTATTCGGGTCCGCACAGCACTCAGACGCCCGGAAACGGCAATACAAGGCTGGTGGTCCGGGCCAGGGGAGGGAGGGGAATGGGGACAGAGTTTCAGTTTTGCAAGATGAGGAGCGCTCTGGGGATGGATGGTGGTGATGGCCGTGCAACCACGTGAAGGTGCTTAATGCCCCGGACCTTGCACTTGGAAATAGTTAGAGGGGTACCCGGGTGGCGCAGTCGGTTCGGTGTCCGGCTCTTGGTTTCAGCTCAGGTTGTGATGGGACTGGGCCCCACACAGGGCTCTGAGGTCAGCCAGGAGTCTGCTTAAGACTCTCTCCCTCTCCCTTGGCCCCTCCCGCTCAGGCTCTCTTTCTCTCTCTCTCAAATAAATAAATCTTAAAAAAAAAATTAGGGGCATCTGGGTAGCTCAGACGGTTAAGCATCTGCCTTCAGCTTGGGTCATGATCTCAGGGTCCTGGGATTGAGTCCCCACGTTGGGCTGCTTCTCCCCCTCCCTGTAACCTTCTGCTTGTTCCTCTCGCTCTGTGGCTCAAATGAATAAATAAAATCTTTTTAAAAAATTTAAAAAAGTAGTTAGAATGGTAAACTTTATGTTACGTCTATTTCACCACTATTAAGAACGAAAACACCTGGGGCTAAAGTCTCTAATTAGGCTTTGGTTGTCCTTGGGTCTGGGGGCCTGACACGTGGGTGGCATGGAGAACTGCCCGGGTCTGGAGGGATGCTTCTGGCCCGCAGACTGGGTCTCACCGAGACAGAGGCCTGGCCCCCAGGGGTCTCTGAGCACGTTCCAGGCACAGGTGCATTCTTTCCAGGTGGGGCTGAACCTTGGAATGGGGCCAGGACTTGCCCAGGGTGACAGGAGTTTTGCTGTCGGATCTAGGGAACTTTGAGTCCGCTTTCCCTGTCCGCTGGCTGTCTGTCTGTCCTTCCTCAGCCCCTGTGGGGAGCGAGCCGTGACGTCTTGGATGGCTCCTCACTGGGATGGAGGCTCTGCCCCACTTATCCAAAGTATGGCTGATTCTCGTTATTTGAGGTCATTATGTTCTCTAAAGTCCCCTGAACACTGGGGTAGCTGACAGCGTGCCATTGCTCCTAGGGGAAATGTGGGGCTCAGTTCCTGCGAGCCTCTGGTCACAGCGTGTTTGTCAACTATCAATACAGAAACTTGTTCTCTGTGTGTTTCTGTTTGAAGACGCCTCATTTAATCGATATCATGGATCCTTTAACACCGAGCTCCTGGCCGATGGCACGGAGTCTCATGCCTGTGGGAAGCCTATCTAACCCACGTGTCTCCTCTGTGGGGTACATCTCAGCCTTCCTGTGCTTGGGGACACCACAGAACACCTCAGCACCAGGCCAAGCAGTGACCTCACCGGGCAAAAGCACAAAAGATGCTCGCGCACAGTACTAGAGCTGAAGCTGGAAGGCAGGACAGACGCTGCCTCGTCCGAGCTCAGCTGGGAACTAGCTTGTTGCCTGAGTCAGAAATTTCTGCCACTCCGCATGGACTGTGAATGACCGAGAAAGCACCTTGACTACTGATTTGGGGGCTACAGGTCAATCACCGCTAGGAAGACAATCGGCAAATAATGAGGAGCGACCATCAGACAGTTCACCCTTCCAGGACCTTCCAGAGCCCGCCCTCGTCTTGCACGTGCCCGCCTGGGCCAAGCACCAAGGCTTCTCGCCAGGTCTCCTGGAGGCCACCCAGCTGGCCTCCCCACAGGCCTCCTGCTTCTGCTCCTGCCCCTCACAGTCCAGCCAAGTGGCTGCTGGAGGATCCCTTGAAAACACCAATCTGACCTTGGCTCCTCTGCTCAAAACTGTCCATTGGCTTCTCATCTCAGAGTAAGGGCCGTGGGGTGCTTTGTGAGGCCCCTGCGCAGTGGAACCCGACCCCTCTCCTTGGCCTCTTCAGCTGCTGCTGGGTGCAGCGCTCGGTGCCCTCGCACATTCTCTTCCCTCTAGCACATTCTTTTCCCGCTTCACAGCTGCCTGGGGCCTGTGGCTGTGTCCCCGCTCCCAGAACATCACCTGGCGCCAGCGACACACGTCTGGGGGGATACGGAGGACCACGCCCCTCCCGCCCCATCCCGCCCAGGCCCCCGCACTCACTCTTCTTGAAGAGCTTCTTCCGGCGACCCGCCAGGCTGAGCTTGTAGTCGCCGACGTCGCAGGCACACGCCTCGCCGCCCGGTGCGTAGTACTTGGGCACCAGGTTGGAGAGCGCCCCGCCCCCCAGCCGCGCGGGGCCCTTGCACTTGTGCAGCTTCAGCTTCCCGGATGCGTCCTCCACACACTGCCACTTCTGCAAGACACAGCCGGGCCCTCAGGCTCCTGGGCCTCCCTTCACTGTCCCATCCCGCCCCGAGCCGGCCCCCTCCTCCTCCTGGCCCTCGAAGGGCTGGACACCGGCTCTCGGACAGAGGGATGCACGTCTGCGGTGGGAGGAGCACAGAAGGGCGGGTGGGGGCGGGGCTCACAGCACCCCTCATACCCTGAGGGGTATGGCCTCAGGGGGCGATGAGGGAGATGAGGGGGACGGGTGGCTTGGTCGGCAGGGCCACGACTGTGTCCTGCCCCTGGGTGACTGCTGGGACTGGAGTCCTGGAGGCCCCAGAGCTGTAGCTGGGCCGCTAGAGACTGATGCCTCCCCAGCGGGTCAGCCCGACCTCTACCTCTAGGACTCTTTTCTTTTGGGGAGTGGAACAAACTCTGATAATGTTTTGGGGATGCTGATGCCTGCCCCTGGACTGCCCTGGGGCCTGCCTGACCCCCACCCTGGGCGGGGAGAAAGGTGCCAACGGGGGAATCTGAACAAGCTAGGGGGACAAAGGCCCCTGGCCCAGCAGCTCACTCTCAGTAGCTCGGAACTGAAATCAGCACCACTCCCCCGATCCGATCGCCCCAGCATCAGCCCCAGGAGGGCAGGGCTTTCTGTTGGGGACATTCAGGGACATGGCTCCAGGGCCGGAACCGTGCTCTGCAAGGAAGGGAGCAGTGTAACCCGAAGCTCTTGTCCACAGGCGCAGACTGCTTCTTCCCCCACATGGAGTCCTCCACGCGTGGGGAGGGGGTCTTATGGTCTGGGGACTGGGGGCTTAAGAACAAATGGGGGTGGGGACCCGGCCCCACGGATGGGCCGGTCCTAAGGCTGAATCTGGTAATAGGAACGGAGCTGCTCGCAGGGAACCCGCAAGAAACCCATCCATCCCGCGCCTGGGCCTGGGAAGCCAGGGGCTCGTAGTGAGAAGCGGGACAGGAAGACCTGGCTTTACTCGCACTTAGGGGTAAGGCCCGAGTTGCCCCGGGGGACGCCGGCGGGCACCCCTTGGACAAGGCCCCCCCTGCCTGCTTTCCTGGCTCTTTGGCCCTGCCCTGCCCTCCCCGCACCCCCTCCCCAGAGCCCACGTCAGAGAAGCCAAGGCAGACTCTACCTGCTCTCTCCAAATACTACGTGGCTGTAATTTTCTTAACACTTCTCTCGAAATCAGCTCACTTTTTAAAACCCTTTTTTATTTAAAAAGGCAGCTTCCTATTTCTCCTCTGACTGCAAAGCCAGCACGAAGAGGCTCCTTAAAGTGAATTCAATGGAACTAACAGGGTATCTGAGGCTGCGAACACCGCACGGGGGCTGCCACCTCCCAGGGAAGGGGGTTGTGGGGGGGCTACCGAGGGGCTGAAGCCCCACGCGCCCCCCCCACCCCCGGGGCGCTTCTCTGATGGGATCATGATTGAAAAGGGAGCTGAGGAAGGAGTCCCTTTCTGAGCCGCGCCCGGTGTCACCCGGTGTGCCCCACTCAGCAAAACCCCACACCTCGGAGGTCCCCGGCCGGCTGGGTCTGCAGACTGCCAGGCCGAGGGGCAGCCCCGGGGAGGGGACAGCCCGGGGAGGGGAGGGAGGACAGGAGGCCGCCGGGCAGCGGCCACACTTCCTCACCTGTCCCAGCTGCTCGCAGGCCGTCTGGTACTCCGCGCGCTGGCACAGGTCCTTCACCCGCCGGTATTTGGGGAGGAAGTTTTCCTCCTGAGCGTCCACCTTGTCGTTGTCCCTCTTGTGCAGCAGTTTGCTGTGGGGCGGGAAGGGGGACAGGCTGCTGTCCTCCAGGCTCTGGAGGAGGGCCCCTCCCCTCCCCCTACTATGTAGCAGCCCTGTGTGGCCCCGGGCACTGTCACCGGAGGACCTGGGTCTCACCGGCCACATCCTCTGATTGTTAAGAGGCTTAGGAAATGGGAATTTTATGAGAAATCTCCCAAACTACATGAGTTGGCAATAAATTAGGAAACATTTAAGACATTGTGTAGGCAGGAAAACATGTCTGAAGGGACATGTGGTCTCCAGGCACAAGTTCTCTGTCAGCCATGGGAACAGCGAGCGGGCTTCGTGCGGGGGGCGGCGGGGAGGCTGTGGACACAAATCCAAGCGAGTCCCTGCTGGGAGGGACCTCAGCGGCTGTTTCCCTCCTGTTCCCACCAGTGAGATCGTCAGCACCACGGGTACAGGCAAGGCTGCCTGGAGCTTCCTAGGGTGGGCAAGTGGGGGGCCCCCCTCCCGCACCTGGCACTCACCCTCTCTCCACCAGGAAGGAGTCCCGCCAGACCCTCATCTTCTTTTTCAAGTGAAACCTGGAAAAGCAGCACATTTCTAACGTCTCATCAATGTGGGGGCCTCACGCATCCCCCCGCCATTCTCTAAGAGGCAGGTATGGTACCTTGGTTCATAATCAGCACAGACCCAGGGCTCCAGGGGGCAGCTGGTGTGGGGGGGAGTGGGCCCAGTGGGGTGCCGGGAAGGCTTGGGTGCTCCCACCTCACGGAGCAGAGCTGTACCTTCCCCAGAGACGGGGGTTGGAAAGCCCACGGGGTGGAAATGGCCTGGGTCAAAGGTTTTGGAGGGATTTTCTTCTTTGATCCTATGCAGTTGGACTTGTGTAATCTGAGTGTGCATTTCATACAGTTTCACTTGACTGCTGTTTCCCAGATAGGAGCTCGGGCAGCCAGAGGAAGCTTCCATCCTCCACCCGGCTCCCAGGCTCCCAACCCAGCTCCTTTGCTGCACCAAATATGCCATTTTACAGTGGTACAGCTCCGGAAACCTCATAGTCAAAGGGAGTAGGCTCCCTGGAGGTGGTCCCCCTATAGGGGGGACCTGGGAGCTGCAGGAAGGGCAAGCAGGAGCTCCCAACAGTCAGCACTTTGGGGCGGTGAACCCGGTGGGCAGTCCCCGTGCTGGCCGCCAGATGTTGCCGCTGCCATGCCTGTCCCCACCAGACTCCGCTCACCTTCCTACCTGCCTAGTTTTTGTTCATGTCACCACTCCCCTTTCTGCTTCCAGGACACCCAGGAATATGGGCCCATCACACCAGCTGGCATCAAAGCCTGAGAGCACGGTGACTGGGAGTGCAGCCCCGAGCCTAGACTCTGAACACCGAGGAGTCAGCTCCACACTTGCTGAGAGACGCCCAGCAAGGTGCTCGACCTCCCTGGGATTCAGATTCACCCTGGTAAGAGGGGATCCTGTAGTGCCTCCCCGATGGGGTCACCGTGATGATCAACATGGGAAGTCCTCTGCGGAGTACTCAGAAGAAGGAAGTGCTTAATGAGCGCTCGCTGCTGCGGTTGTGATTATTTGCAGTTTTACACAGTTTTAGCACAGAGAGGGTCCTCAACTGGTCACCTCAGCGACAGTCCAGATGGGAGGATGGACTTAGAGCCAGAACTTCCTTCTTTCCCACGGCAGGGAAGGAGTCGGGATCAGGGACCCTAGAGCCCCAGCTCTAGACTCTTGGAGACACACCCCCTCCCAGACACACACCATGTGGCCATGAGTTCACGCAGTTTGGGGAGCCTGGCAACCCTTCGCCCCCAGCACCGGCCTGCTCCCCTGCTCCCCTGCTCACCGATTCGCTGGCCGCTCCGTATCCAGCAGCTTGAGGATGGACTTCCCATCCATGTCCGAGGGGATGTCCAGACCGGCAATGTCCAGGATGGTGGGGGCCAGGTCAATGTTGAGGACGATGTGGGGATTCCTGAGGGAGGTGGGGAGAGGAGGACTTGGCCACCCGGGCAGGGGTGCCCCAGCCTTGCTGGGGAGAAAGGGCAGCTGGAGGGAGGAAGGTCGCCAGGGGCTCACGCCCGGAATGTAGAGAAGCTGTGATCTTGTCCCTCTCCTGCATCCCAGCCCTCAAGGCTCCCTTTGGCAGCACCCACACCACCCCCTTCAGCTGAGCCCACGGCCCTCCCCACCCCTCACCTGCTATGCACCCCACACATACCACAGGGCACCGGGATTTACGGGCCTCTACTTAGCTGCTGCTTCCACTAGGGATGCCCTCCCTGCCTCCCACTGTCTGATCACAGGACACCCCCCCCCCCGCCCTTTAAAATCCACTCTCAACCCTGGACCGGCTCCTACATCTGTCTCTGAACCTCTGATGCAAATGCTGGCCCCTGGCTGTTCTTGGCCAGGCCGGTGTCTGGCCTCAGGGCCTTTGCCCTTGCTCTTCCCTCTGCTGGAATGTTCTTTCTCGATGCCAGAGCAGCACTCTCCCCCGCCCCCTGAGTTCTCTGCTCAACAATTACCAAGGACGCCCAGGGCCCCTTGATCCCTGCTCTCCAGTGTGCACACCTCTGTGAGGTCCCCTACCCCCAAGGGTGGGCCAAGCCAGCAGGATCTGGGGAAGGCGATGGCGTCACACGGTGGCTATGCTTTGTCTCGCCAGCTATCCCTTTGTCTACTTTCTCCCCTGGTTGGGGAGAAGGACCGAGCTGCCCTAGGTCACCACCGCCGGTGAAGATGGGTGGTGACTATTCTGGGAAGCAGGTTGTGTGACTTCAGGTCCCCTGCTTGCACCTGAACAACCCTGGGAGCGGGGAAGTCTCCCCAGTCCTGCCGAGTCCTGCGTGCAGCAGAAGCAGAGGGCCAGGCTAAGCTGGGCCCCAGTTTGCAACAACTTGTGATGCAGCACAGATTGCTATCACGAGGCCCTTCCTGTGGACCCCCCTCCTCGTGCTCCTGCCCCTGCCCTGAGGCCTCATCGCCCCCATTTACTACATATTGCAGTGCTAGCTCTGGTTTACCATGCACGCCCATTTAGACTCCAGCTGCAAGGCAGATGCTCTCGTCTAGTACTTTTATGCTTAGAATATACAGTAGGTGCTCAATAAGTGCTAGCTTAGTGACTTTTGTTATTTATCTCTACCAGATGCCTGTCACGTCTCTTGTCTCCTATTTCTGCCTGGTGGTGTCCCCAGTGTGGTGGTAAGGGGCTCAAGGGAAGTGCCCAGTGTGGGGGTCGGCCCCTGCTGAATGCATGATGGACACACAGAAACCCTCTCCATCAAGGCAGCTTGGAGTCCCCGACGCCATGCCCTGGGCTGAGGGGCAGGGCCTGGGTCCTAGCGTTTCAGTTGTCTTTGACCACCCCTTCCCCCGCCGCCTTCTCCACAGCCCAGCACCTTGAGAACACGGGACAGGTAGCCAGGCATGCTGGGAGGGGTACAGGGGGTAAGGCTGCATTGTGGATGGGCTTGAAGGCATGACAATGTAATCTGTCTGGCGGAGGGAGCTGGAGCAGACGCCAAGTGGAATGTTGGCAACCAGCAGCTGAGTTGGCTTGCGGGCGTCCAGCAGCCCTGCTCCCCCGGAATAGGTGGGATGGACAAGATTGCTTTTCCCACCCAGCCTCCACACCCTGCTTGGTGGGAACAGAGCCCTGCCCCACTCAGATTCCACTGCCTCATGGATTAGGTCTCTCACTCAAGGTCTTCTATCACCTTCTATCACTGGCTACTGTGATTGGTTCAGGGATGGATGGACACATGACCCAAGTCAGGCTGGTGACAGTCGGCCTCGAGGCTTCTGTCCGAACCACTGTCTGGTTTCCTAAACTGGATGGCTGCAAGTCAAGGTGAGTCTACCACCAGAGAGAAAAGCCTGCCTGAGAATGAAGATGATTCAGAGGAAGCTGGGCTGAGAGATGGAAAATGGAAGCTTCCTGATGTTATTGTGAGACTGCTGGATCCAGCCATGCCTGAAGCCAAAGTGGCCTTGGACTTTCCAGTTACTTTAGTTCCTATGTTCCTTTTATCTTTTTTTTTTTGGGGGGGGGGAAGGGGGCCTTATGTTTGCAACCAAAGGAACCCTAGCCTTGAGCCCCAAGCCTGACATTAGCACTTTCTTTCTCTTGTCCATGTGCGGTATGGTTTTGGGTCCTATGGACCAGATCGGAGACTCTGAGGCTGATCAAACCGATGATGTCAATGCCTGTGCAGTCTTTAGTGAGTCACACTCCTTTGATTTACAGTGGTGGCTCAAGGGTTCTGAGCGGCAGGAGTAGAGGCCGCCTAGCTTAAAATCCCAGCTCCTTCCCTGACATACCACATGGCCTCAGGCAGGCTTACCTCTCTGTGCCCCAACCAGCAGGGTCATGGTGGCATCTGTGTTAGCGACAGGGTTGTTGGGATGCCCTCATGGCTTACGTGGTGGCTGTAAAGGGCTTAGACCCAGGCTGAGGAGCTAGACAAGTATACCTATTATCACCGCTCTCCTTACATGGGGACCCGGAGATCCGAGGGTGGGGAAGGATTTGTTGAGATCGGCAGGCAGAGAGCAATCAGCCCAGCCTTGAACCCACACAACCCACCTTCTGGAATTGTCACCAAGCATTCTTTCCAAGGGATGCAAGTCAGGTCAAGTAAGTGTCTTAAAAGCAATTTATCTGCATTTCAAAAAGCCATTTGAGTTGGTCTCTGTAATGTGCAGTTGATCTGAGGAAGCCGCTGCTACCATCACTTGCCTTTCTACCCTACCCCTGCCCGAGATGTGGCATTTCTGCTGCCACAATATGGCAGCTCACGCTTAGCCCAAGGAGAATGCTGGCTGAGGGCTGGCAGGGTCCCAGACGTTGGATGGAAGGGAGACTATTTCCCTCTGTGCCGTAGCCTGAGCTGCCCCAGCTGACCACGGCAGACAACCCCGCACTGAGGCGGCAGGGTTCCTCCCTGGCAGCCGCCCCACGGATCCCCCGGGCCAGACAGAAATCAAGGAGGCCTTTCCACACGCTGGCGGCGACGCACACACAGGCCAGCTCCCGGCTCGCTGGCACGCCGCCCCAGCACACACAGTCTGTTTTTACAGGTGCTAACGGCCCCCGGTCTCTCCTTCCCCAGCGGACGGCTATAAAATGTGTCAGAACCCACCCAGGTGACATAATCAGTGTTTCACTTGGCACCAAGGCTCACCTGCCCACGTCACGTGTCGCCCAAGGGAGTGGCTTGGGGCCACATGCTGGAGCCACCTGCTTCTCAGCCTTCTGGGGGCTGGTGGAGCCCGGAGGCCTCCCTGGGAAGGCAGGGCCCTGGGTAGGGGGTGGGTGAGGCACTTACAGCGAGCCGGCCTCCACGTTGGGGCCCCGCACGTAGAACGGGACCCTGATGTCGAACTCGTACGGCATGGACTTGCCCTTCACCAGGCCAAACTGGCCGATGTGGTAGCCGTGGTCGGCGGTGTACACGATGTAGGTGTTGTCCAGCTCGCCCGTCTCCACCAGCATGTTGTAGAGCTGAAAGGCGGTGAGGCGGTGAGGGCGCAGGGCAGGGCTGAGGGCACCGAGCGCCCTGGGGCCCCACCCTCCTCGGCTTCGGGAGTTTGCGGCACCTCGCTGTGGGGACTGACGCGTTTGTAACTGGAATGACTGTAGCCTCTCCGCCTGCTGTCGCGTCCCGCACCCCTTCTTGGCAGTGTAGCTCCCCTTTATCTCTTTGGTGTGAGTGGGGCTTCCCCGGCCCCCGGATTAGAATGGGGGGCTCCACGTGGGCAGGAGCATCTGTCACCATGTTCTCTGCTGCATTCCCACGGCACTGGCACTCCGCCAATGCTGCTGGCAGGATGAATGAATGAATGAATGAGGGGATGAAGGCGGACTGTGGCCTGGGGCAGGTGTTGGCGATCTACAACAGTGCTGTCCCGCAGAACCTTCCATGGTGCTGGGGGGTGGTGCCTGTGCCATCCGAGATGGCGGCTGCCAGTCACATGTGGCTACTGGGCGCCTGCACGTGGCTAGTGCAGCCGTGATACAGAATTTTAAACTGCATGGATTTAAAATGAATGAATGAATGAATATGATATATTTATTTATTTAGATTTTATTTGAGGGAGAGAGAATGAGGGGTGGGGAAAGGCGGGCGAGGGAGATAAGCAGTCTCTCTGCTGAGCAAGGAGCCTGCTGCGGGTCTCGATCCCAGGACTGGGAGATCAGGACCTGAGCCAAAGGCAGACACTTAATCGACTGAGCCACCCAGGGGCCCCATGGATTTTAAATAGCTGTATAGCCACAGAGTGACTGGTGGGTTAAGTGTCCAACTCCTGATCTCGGGGTAATGAGTTCAAGCCCGTATTGGGCTCTACCCTGGGTGCAGATACTGTGGATACATAAAAAATGTAAGGGGCGCCTGGGTGACTCAGTGGTTAAGTGCCTGCTTTCGGCTCAGGTCAGGATCCCAGAGTCCTGGGATGGAGCCCCGCATCGGGTTCCCTGCTCGGCAGGGAGTCTGCTTCTCCCTCTGCCTGCTGCTCCCCGTCCTTGTGCTCTCTCTTTCTCTTACTCCCGTTCTATCACAAATAAATAAATAAAATTTTAAAAAAATTGTATATCCATACGATGGACTACTATTCAGCCATAAAAACAAAGATGTGAGCTAGCGCATGGATGAATCTTGGAAAGGTGAGGCTGAGTGAAGGCAGCCAGACACGAAAGATCACATGTCATGGGATCCCACTTCTAGGAAGCGTCCAGAAGACGCGAGTCTGCAGAGACACGAAGCAGGTTAGCGGCTGCCTGAGGACCCGGGGTGAGGCAGTCCGGGGGTGATGGCTGAGGGCCGCGGGGCTCCCGTGTGGGGTAATGAGCGTGTCTGAAGTTGACTGTGCCGGTGACACAGTCTGCGACACAGTCAAACCACCGGGCTCTGCACTTGAGGAACAATACAGCACGTGGATTCTGTCTCAGTAAAGCTGCCGCAAATGTACCAAATGGAACCGGCCGAGCTCGTCCGTGCCACGAAGGCAGAGGCTTTGCTGGGACCGCTCACGGCCACTTCCCCAGGGCTGTCACTCTGTGGGCTCATTCTGCCTCCATTTCCCTTCCTCTGCAGCTGGGGGCGCTCGGGACAGGGGTGAGGGCGGGGAGGGCGGCGAGCTTGGGGCGGCCTACCGTCTCCATGGAGTCGTCCACGGACATGAGGGTCTGCAGACGCTTCCGCTGCAGCATGTTGGTGAACTCCATGTGGATGGGCTTCATGGGCCCCGTGTAACGCATGATCCAGTGCTTGTCGGGGTTGGGCGCGTAGTTGTAGCTCGGCGTGCTGCGGGCAAACACACACCCGGGTCAGGCCGGGTGTGGGGCTGCCCCGAACCCTCAGGCTCCCCGCTCCCCAAATCTGCAGTCCCTGAGCTTCCCAGGTCTCCAGCCCCCTAAGTCCCCAGCCCTGCAGGTCTCCAGCCCTCTAGCTCCCCAAATCCACAGTCTCCTAGCCCCCAAGTCCCCAGCCCCCCAGCCCTGCAGGTCCCCAGCCCCCCACGCCTCAGGGTGACAGCCTCCTGCACGGCGTGAGCGCCCATCTGGGGAAGCCGCGGTGACGCATCAGGGGCTCTACTAAGGCTTACACCAGTGTTTCCCCAGCGCAGGGTGTGCATGTGGGGGGACCAGGGGTCACCCAGCCTTAAGTGACCCGGAGCCGCACAGTGAGAACATCAGTCCTTCCCGGCACAACTCTGCTAGCCTGCCCGATGCGTCAGGCCCCAGTCTCAGTCCGGTGTGACACTCCTAACACCTTCCGGCAGTTTGCTCTGCTCTTTCTTAAGATGGGGAGAGGGTCAGGCCCAGAGCCTCCAGCAGGCACGGGCGCCCCACTCGAATTCCTTAGCCTAGCCGTGATCCTTTAGTTGCCTTGGGCAAGGGACGGTTACTGTGGTGAAGACACAACCACAGAGCTTCCTTTTGCAATAGATCACTTAAAAAAAAAATCTAAAAAATCAAGTCAACAGTAGTCATGGATGTAGGACCCAAAACATGAGGACGGCGCCCGAGAGTACGTTTGTCACGATTCCTCTTCCCGTTTGTTCTCATCTCATCTCCCAGTTACTGAAGAGGAAACAGAGGGTCAGAGAAGCTTGGGGGGACCTGCCCACAGTCTCAAAGGCAGGTGGTGCAGCCAGGGTAGGCGGGGGGTCACTTCTGTCACGGGGTCCGCTGTGATGACCCGTCATACTGAACAAATCACCACAACCTCTGGGGTCTACAGACCACCTCCCACATTCCGCGTACGGGGCACAGCTCGGAGGGTTCACCTCCGACCCTCTCCTCGCCACTCACCGCCCCTGGAGCAGGTGCCCGTTTCCTGCCCCAGTGACCACACGGAGGCCTGGCAAGGGGACTAACTTGCCAGAGGCAGAGCTGGGCTTGGAACTCCAGGAGCCGCTCTGGTCGATGGTTGCCCACTGCCTCCGTAATATAATCGCCTCCCTGACACCCTCCTGTCCGTCCGGGCTCGGCCGTGACTTTGGCCAAGGCCCTCCGTGGCCAAAAGAGGTCAATGTGGTTCATGGCTTTGGCACTTTCCAGGTGACTCTAGTCATCTAGGGCTCCGTCCCAAAGCAGGAGCACCTCTGGCTGCCTCAGCTCACCCCAGGCCCCGGGCTCTGAGCCCCGGGCACACCCCACCAACGTGCGGAGTATCCCGGGTGGGGGGCACTGCTGATGGGAAGTGCCCTCTTCACCCCACAGAATGTGGCATCCGTTGCGCTGGTCTGGCGCCCCTCAGATCTGATCCCCTCCCCAGTCAGAGCTGAAAATAAAGGTTGCATTTCCACTGAAGACAAAGGCTTTTCAAAACGGCTAAGAAAGGGACAAGGGGTGGTAAGAAGGGGACAAGGGGTGGCGAGCGGGGAGCGAGGGCAGGCGAGTGGGCCTTGCAGACAGGGCAGAAAGCTCCTAGTGCTTCACCTGCCCCACCAGGACAGTCCGCAGCCCTGGGGTGTCAGAGCCTCAGGGGGCTTGGGGAGAGCGCATGACGCCGCTGACAGTGATGGAGACCGCTGCCGGGTAGCGTGCGGGTGAGTCACAAGCTTGCAGATTTCTTCTGGACTTTGCTTCGAGTGCCTGGCTAGTCCCCCACCGCTAAATCCAGCCCCCCCCACATGCCGGCTCTTTTGATCAAGGGCAAGGCCTGGCTCTCCTGTGGGCCGGCTTAGGGCTTGACCCTCCTGTAGAACATTCCCAGGAACAAGCCCCCCTCCCCCACGGAGGAGCTGGAAGGGAGCTGCTGGGGGCAGGGGCTGCGTAGACACGCCCTTGGAGCTGTTCGGCGGTATGGGAAAATTGTTCCCGGAGGCCCAAGGGGCCGGATTCCAGGATGCAATTTTGAGCAATCATCCCTGAATCTATTAGATTCTATTAGGCTGGTGTCTGCCCTTGAGAACAGTGAGGGCTGAGTGTCGGGCCCGTAGTGGAAGGATTGCTGAAGCCCTTTCTCTGAGCCCTCTTCAGGATCTCAGAGCCGGGAGTCCGCAGGGCCTGGGGACCCCCGGAGGCCCAGGCCAGCTTGCTGGTCACCAGCAGGAGGCCAGGCTCCTCCAGGGAGGAGGTCGCATTTTCACAGGAACCCAGCTGCTGGCAGAACAAAGAGCAAAAAGCCTCACCCCCTCAAGCATCCGAGGAATGCGTGGTGCGTTTGCCACAGGCCTGAGGGCGGCACCACTCCCCTCTGCTGGGGAGAGGACACGCCTCCCGCCCCTCACTGTGCCCCAGGAGCCTGCCTAACACCCACCGTCTCCTGGCTGTCCTCAGGGCCTGGACCCCACCATCGGACGCCACACCTCAAAGGGAGCTCTGGGCGCTGGTGGGGGTTGGGGTATCTGTGTATGCTTCTGTGTGCACCTGTCTGCGTGTGTGTCTGTGTGTGTCTGGGTGTGGATCTGTGTTTACACGCCTGTGTGTCTGGGTATATGAAATCTGTGTGTGCCTGTGCTTGTGTTTATGTATTTGTGTATCTGTTTGTACCCTTGAGACTGTGTATCTGTGCCTGTGCGTATGTGTGCATCTGTGAGGGTATCTGTGTCCATGGGTACGGTGTTCATGTTTGTGTGTGCATTTGGGTACCTTTGTGTGTGTCCGGGTATCTACGTGTGTATCTATGTGTATCTTTGTATGTTTGTGTGAGCAGATATGTGTTCGTGTGAGTCTGCGTGTCTCTGTCTGCATCTCGCATGTGTGTCCAGATGTGTGGAAGTGGGATGGGGCCCCAGGCAGGTGGTGTGGGACCCCGCACCAGGCAGCGTCTGGGAGAGCCCATGAGGCCCACGTCAAGAAGGGGACACCAAACTTGACTGGGCAGCAGCTGGACAGGAGCCTCTGGACAGAAAGATCTAGAACTCTGACCCACCAGCAGGGCCCTGTCTCCTCCTCACCCCCCTCCTTGACTGTCATAATTAAATATCCCAGCTGCAGAAGTTTCTGGTTTTTGGTTTTGTTTTGCAAATGATTATACCCCAGAGACAGGAGAGCCCTCCAAACACAGTCCTCCTTCACAAGGCGGGGGGATTCTCTGGGTAAGTAATAGCAGGCGTTCCTCATGTTCAATTTCTATAATTTTCATTTCAAAGGGAAAATAAATGAGCAGGCAATGTCAAACAATCTCATGAAACTCGAGGGCTGCCTGGGAGGAGGGATGCCTGCACCTCTTTTAAAGGAGAAGCTGCAGAAGCGGAGCCGACCTGGCCCCCGCTCCCCACCCCAGGCGTCTCCCTAGGTGGGACTGAGCTGCCCACACCCCTCGGAGCGGGCTGGGGGTGCGGGCGGGCAACTCAGGTGTGCAGAGAGGCGGGGCTGCAAGCGGGGGAGCGAGGGGATGCCACGGCCCCTGGAATGCCGTTCACCATCTGTCCAATCTCTTCCCCGAAGACCAGGGGATCGGGAGGTGAGCACACTGCCTCCTCCTCTCGGAGTCACTCTGGGCACTGTCAGAAAGTAATTACAGCGAGGGGATGAGGAGGGCAACACAGTCTGATTATAATGACAATTAAACACCCTGAATATTCAGGCGGATTCCAAATTGCCCTGTCCTTGTCGCCCCAATGTCACAGCAAGGGCTGCTGGGTATCACTCACTGCTAAGCGGGAGGTGGCTGGAGGCAGGGAGAGAGAGAACTTTCCAGAGAGATTTACTAGCCACCTGGAGGGAGGAGGATGGAAGGGTGGGTAGAGAGATGGGAGGTGGGGCTGGGGGCAGGACCCAAATCTGGCTCTGTGGTTCCCCCGGCCCCGAGTTACCTCGCCTCTCTGTGCCTCGGTCTTCTCATCTGTGAACTGGGAATGCCAGGTGTGGTAGGCAGCCTCCACGGTAGCTCTCGATGGCCCCCACTTCCTGGCATCCACACCCTGTGTCCCCCCTCCCACACTGGCAGCACACCTCTGTGCGACCACGAGAAAACGGCACAGCAATGGTGTGTCATTTTTAGATTACGACAAAAAAACTCTGGCTTCCTTCTCGACCTCTCTCTGCCTACCCCAGGCCCCTGAGTCCGTTCCTCCATCTTAGATCATTTGCTCTGGAGGAAGACTGCTGGTTGCCATGCAGTGAGGACACCCAAACAACCCTCCGGAGAGGCTGGTGCCGAGGGGCTGCCGTGGGGATGCGCCCCAGGCTGGCCGCAGGTGGCTGCAGCCCAGGCTGACACCTGGATTAGAACTGCAGGAGGCCCAGCGCTAGAACCTTCCGGACAGGCTGCCCCCAGGTGCCTGACTCACACACTGTGACCAAATACACGTTTGCGGTTTTAGCTGCTCAGTGTCGGGGTAATTGTTACACGGAATGGATAAATCATACTTCGAGGGTCATTGTGACTGTTCAGGGGTTCGGTGCCGTGTAAGGACTCAGCAAGGAGCCTGTCACGTGGCCAACGGCTCAGGAAAGGCTGTGGAAAGTACCCACAGTCTAATGAGGCTACGGACCTCTTCTCAAAAAAATGATTTGAAATGCATAAAATAGACAGGATCACAAAGGAAACCCACTATACCACAATGCACACACAGACCTCCTGGGGTCAGGGGAGGACGAGGGTCCTGACTTAACACCTGCCACTGGCTTTGGCCCATTGGCCTGCCTGGCTGATTTGCGACCGGTGTCACCCCAAGTGAGCAATGTGTTCCTGGGGTCTTTGCACCAGGAGGATTTGAGACAAGGCACAGCTCTGTCACCGTCATGCCATTAGCATCCTGAAGCCTGACCCTCCCACCCTCACACCACCCAGTGGCTCTGCGGGCAGGGTGCTGGAACTTACATGTGCTGGGAGGCGTTGGGGAAGAGGCTCGAGTACTGGGGGGCGGAGTCTTCGGGGCCGTGGGGGGCCGCGTGGCTGATGACCATCAGGACGGGCCGGTGGGGGTACATCTTCTTGGACGAGCGGAAGAAGCTCACGCTGTCGTTGGTGATGAGGTCTGTCAGGTAGTCCTGGGGGTAGGGGAGAGATAGGAGAACGTGTGAGGAGCTGGGCCACCGCACTCATCCAGACAGACAATCCCTGCCCCATCCCCGGGCAGGGGGTGGTGGTGGTGGGCTGCTGATCGTCCAGGGGCAGAAAGCCAATCAGTGAGCAAGGAGATGGCGCTAATGGAGAAAAAGAAGCAGAGGGGCTTATGGAGGATGGGGAGAAGTTGCAATCTGTCGTCCATTTGTCATGGATATAAAAATAATACTAGCTCACACTTTTGAGCGCTCACGGAATGCCAGGAGTAGCTCTGTGTTTACTTGTATCAGTTCATTTAATTCTTGTACAACTGCAGAAAGTAGGGGTGATGTGAATTCTTGTTTTCTGGAACAAGAGATTAAGGCATAGGGAAGTTAAGTGAATTGCCTAATGTCACACAGCTGGTAAATATTGCAGCCAGGCCTCCTGAGTCTTGTTTCCTAAACCTGAAGTCTTTTGGAGGTTCCAGAAATACTGCTGAACAGGGTGGGGCCATCCCTGTATTCCCGGAGTGCTGTGCTGGGGGCAGGAGCAGCCGACCATGTAAACCCAGAACCAAGACAGTGACAAATGTGTGATAGATGATGGAAATAAGCTGTGACTAAGGAGCTGGAGTGGGGGCATACTTTAGCTGGGGCAGTCAGGGAGGGCCTCTCTGAGAAGGTGACACTGGGGCTGAGTCCTGAGTGATGAGCTGGGCACGGGAAGATCTTTGTCATTGGGGTTGGCCCTCAACTGCCTTCCGGAATCCTTGGGGGAGCATTGCTGAGGTGTGAGCCTACTGCCAGAGATGCTGGTTTAATTGGTCTGTGGTTTTCCCCAGGCACTGGGCTTTTTAAAAGCTCCTAGGAGTTCCAGTGTGCAGCCAGGGCTGAGAATCGTTGATCCAGAGGAAGTGTTCCAGGCAGAAGGAACGACAGATGCAGGGACTCTGAGGCAGAAAATGAGCTGCAAGTGGGCAGGGGGGGGGGGGCAGGATGAGAGAGGATCGGGAGGAAGAGGGACACACAGAAACTGAGGGCTTTAAAAGCTCAGCTACAAAGCTGAGCTTTGCCTAAACTCATCTTGAACTTGGTAAAAAATCTTTAGCTGCTAATCTTGCAAGAAGGTAACGAGTTCCTGAAATTTATCTGCTGCTCCCTGGGGAGCAGCTCTGTCCGAAATGATCACTTTCAAAATGAGGTAATATTTTGCAGATGAAAACGTCAAGAAATGACTACAGCTTCTACCCTGAAGTGAACCGTAGGATGGACACCAGCAGGTGTGCCCTGGCTTCCAAGACACGCCTTCTGGGACACTTGACACCACACCGATCACAAGGATGGCCACTGCAGCTGTGTTCATAAAGCAGAAATGTACTGCAGTGACTAGCAACAGGGACGTGATTAATGAGTTCACGCTGTTTTCATACAATGCAGTGCTGGACAGACATTGCATGGAAGCAAGTCCGCAGTTACTGTGATGGAAAGCTGTCTGAGATCACACTTTTGAGGGAAAGAGTGAGTTACTCTCAAACCAGGAAAATCCCATCTTTCTGTGGGGATGGAGGGTAGCAGTGTGCAGAGGAGAAGCCAAATCCCTAACTCCATCTGCTTTTGAGCACCCAAGAAGAATCTAGAAGGACAGATTATCAGTGTGCTAACTGGGGTCTGGGATAAAGGGAGAGATGGGGGAGAAAGTTACTTGCTACTTTGTATACTTTTCCTGGAGTACTTTTTATGACTACTTTTGGAAAATGACAAAAGGTTTTCTATGAGGATTCTGTAGAACCTATCACATAAAAATAACACTATAGGTCACCTAAGTCAAAGAGCTCCTGCTACATTGTGGAGCATGGCCTGGAGGGGCTGGGAAAGTTCTTAAAAGGACAGAGGGACCCACGGACGTGGCCATGAGCACGGTGGGGACCAGAAGCTGAAACCTGCTGCCTCAGGCTGGTGGGGAGCCATGTGGAGGGCTGCCGCCGCTCTCTGTAATAAGTCCATCCTCAGTGCTTGCTTTTGGAATGACATGCCTCGTTGGCTGTGATTAAACGTGTTTTCTGAAAAGCCACCATGCACATCCCTTCCCAGGAGAGACCTACAGTGCCATGATCCATCATCCGGAAAGCACAAGCTCTGAGCCACCTGGATGGACACGGAAGGACCTTACCGGCCTGGCACTGGGTGAGGAAAGCAGGCCGTGGAGGGACATGCATGATCCAACACCATTTGTGTGCAGGCGAAAACCTCACCAAATGTTATGTATTGTTTGGGATATCTGCACAGGCAATAGAACAAAGGCATCCACGGCCCTTAGCAGGGGGCTGGTTACCTCCCAGGGAGGGTAACATGGGGGCTCCTATGACCTGTGATATTACATGTTTAGAAATGTGTGCTGGGATGAGTGGGTCGGCCTCTCCAGGCTGCCAGGAGGGGCTCAAGTGCTGGGAGATGAAAAGCCCTTGACACGGCGCCTTGCATGGAGCCAGCTCTGACAAACGGGCTCACACTGGCTGTCTTGGTGGTGTGGCCGATTTCCCGCGTATCTGAGAGCACCCACCCTCTGGGTCCTCTTCAAAGCCACTTGGACGCCAGCTAAGGCTCTGCCAACCTCCGCCGGCTACAGCATCTGGCCATCCATGTGGATTGAAGGGGACACTGCCTTTATTCCAGGGGTGGGCAGTGAGCCACAGGTGGGCCCACGAGGACATGCCAGCTCTCTGGCCACAGTACTGAGCATCCAGACATTAGAGTGAGGGATAGGGGACCTGGGCCGGGGGGACAGTGGCATTGTCCAGTCACGGCTGGGACAGACAATGTGTCCATTGGCTGCATGTGGAGAGGGAGAGTCACACCTCCCTCCCCCACCTCATGCCCTGCCACCTGATTTCCGGTTTGGGTGAAGGGTATAGAGATGGGGTTTGGGTGAAGGGTATAGAGATGGGGTCCAGGAGAAAGAAAATATCAGAGCGAAGGCAGGAGTGCTAAGTTCTGGACAAGCTTCACTGGGTGCCTGGGTCAGCCAGGAAGGAGTCAAGGATGTGGGTTGTTAACAGGAAGGGTGGGACAGGGGAGGGGACCAAGCAGGCTAAAAGATGAATTTTCTAGAACCTGGAGATCAGCTGATAGATTATGAGGAACTCTCTCCTCTCTGTAGCCCTGTGCCAGGCCCATTCCTGCTCTCCTAGGTGAGGGGCTAAACTTCCCCCGATGCCCTCTCGGCCATGCCTGTGCAAGTGGGCGGTGATGCCAGCTTCTGGGGACTTTGCTCCTAACTGGAGCTTATCAGCCACAGCAGTGTCCCGCTTCCCCTCTCCATCATGACCTCCGACCGACTCTGATCAGTAAACCAAGAGGAACCCAGTACATCTGCGGAGATTGCTAGCCTGCAGCTCTGGGCAAAAGCATCCATTTCCCCCAAATGGTCATTTAGCCGAGGAAGCCTGTGGGGTGTGGGGCGCGCTCCTGGGGAGCTCGGTGACAGGACGGGCTGGCCCGTCTCACGCCCTGCCTCATTCTGCAGGCTTGGCCTTTGCTGCTGTTTCTCATTTATGTGCTCACTTAACAAATACTTGTTGGGTGCCTGTTCCCAGGGTGCCGGGTTTCCTGTTAAGGGCTTGGGACATGGTCACGGATCCCTGTCCCCATGGTGATCACAGTCCTGTGCAGGGTGTGGAAAAGCATTCTCATTAGCAGCAAGAAGGCAGAGGATCTGGGAGGGACAGGAAGTTTTCACTCACTTAGGATTATCTCTGGCTGCTGGGGACGGGGGACAGAGACTGTAAGGACAATCAAGGGACCACAGCTGGCACGATGGGACGCTCCTCTTCTTCCCTGGACCTGGGTGTCCAGAGAAACGTGTCCCATGGGTGCCCCCTGGGAGATCCACACACTTCATCCCGCGGAAGCCTGGGGTTCTACCTCTTGTCTGAACTTGGGTGAGATAAGCCAGTTCACCCCACATTTCTCAGGCTATCCCCCCAAACTGGAGTCTCCTGGCTCCCAGGGCTAGTTAACTTTTCCGATTGGGCAGCCCGTATGAGCTGCTCTAGGGTTGTGCCTTGAGAATGATGGTTTTGCTCCCGAGACCTGGTTGGAGGGTGATGGTGGGGCAGGGAAGGGAGGTTGTCCCCCTCCCTCCAGGGGGCAGCCCTCAAGCCCACCTCTTGATATTCTCTCACTTGGCAAGTCAACCTGTAACAGAGGGTCTCCTCTTCTGAGCCTCTGGCTCCCCGGGCAGCAGGTCAAACTTTTATTCTGAATCCTAGAGCTGATCCTGTCCCTGTGGAAACTTCTACAGCAGTTTGTGTTCAGAAGAGAGTCACATCGCTTTAAGGAGCAATCGTATTTCATGAAGCCGAGGGCTCTGGAGTCAGAAACTCTGGGCTTGCTCCCTAGCTTCTTCACCTGCTATCTGTGGGCCAACCACTACCTTGCTGCAGCTCAGTCTCTGCATCTAAAAAATGGGCCCAATAACAGTCCCTTCTCCAGATGGTGGTGTGAGCACCGGACAAATGCATAAAAGCACTCAGCAAGGAGCCCAGCTCTGAGAAAACCCACGATGAACATGGACTCTGATTGTTGTCACATCTTTGCTCAACTGACCTTCACGGCAACTCTGAGAAGTGGACTTCGTGCCCATTTGACAGATGGGGAAACTGAGGTCATGAAACAAACAAGCAATGTACTCAGAGCGAGACCTCAGGCCTTTGTATTTTTTTATCTGTTCCATCGCTTTCCCCGCACAAAGTTGTTAATGAGTATATGGTGGTTTACACTAAGCATCAACAAAGCTTTTCTGTAAAGGGTCGGCTAGGAAATGTGTGAGGCTTTGCAGGCCAGATGTCTCACTGTCACTGCAGCAGGAAAGCAGCCACCACGTAAATGAACGGGCATGTCTGCGCTCCAGTAAAACAAGAGGCCTGGTGAATTGTAAATTTCATGTCGTTTTCACGTGTCATGAAAGCTGCTCTTTTTTGGATTTTTTTTTTTTTCAATGAGTT